CCTAAGGACATTCTGGTAAACTGAAAGTTCTCCAAATAAAGCCCAAAAAAAAAAAAACATTAACTTCACCTCATTTTTAAATGAAGATTTTAACATCTGTATATGTAACTTTAGCTTTTCAGTTTTCATAGTCCATGCCAACATTTATGTTTATGTTTATGTATTTAGCAGACACTTTTGTCCAAAGCGACTTACAAGTGATAATCGGCATGTTGCCCTTGAGGCTAACAACAACAATGGCAACAACAACTTGACATCAATCATGGAGAGGAGGGAACAAGGAGTGGACGGTAGAGGGGGGGACGGGTGCAGGGAGAGTGCTAGTTAAGAAGATGCTCTCTGAAGAGCAGGGTCTTCAGGAGTTTCTTGAAAATTGAAAAGGAAGCCCCTGTTCTGGTAGTGCTTGTCACACAACTTCAGTGGGCAATGATAATAATAATGTGGCTTAAATGAAGCTGAAACTTTGGATAAGTCTTTAAACGTTTGTGTCCAAGAAGAACATTACTTCAGTAAAAATGTTTAATTTCAGTTTCAATGTAAATCAATGTATCTTTAATTAATAATCTGTCAAAATGTTCATCCCAAGTATTAGTATATTTAATAGGATGCATCTGTGTGCCTGCAAAGTGTCTCTTTGTTTATGTGGGTGTCAGGCATAAAAGTTTGAAGGGGTATGATGTCTGCCTCCTAAGTGAGGAAGTGTGTAACACTGTGTGACAGTGAGTCATAGATGATGAGATTCAGGACCAGACACTTCCTAGAAAGCATAAAAGTCTGCTTGCTCAGACATATTCCTGTCTGTTTATTTATCCCACTCCCAGCTCTGAACTATAATGGGACAGTGAACAGACTCCAGGGCTTTTACTTCACCGTATGAATCATATTTCATCAGTATTATCAACAGTTAGTTGTCCTTAGTTTTGTAAATGAGTTTTTATTTGTAAACTGTAAATTTAGATACTTTAGTAGTAGTAGTTAAACATGTTCAGTAAAGATGGTATAACACGCAACTTCTTAAAAAAACCTGGTTTGTAGTTTATTATGCTCATACCTCTACAGCACAATTCCCCCCATTACTCAAATTGCTTTTGTGGTTCACCAAATCACACGAACTATGGTCTACCACAGGACACCGTTTAGGAAACGTCACAGCTTAAGTTTCTGACGTCATATCCTACATGCCATAAAATGTCCATGATAATTAATTCTAACCAGTTTATCTGAATCATGGATGTGCACATGGCCAAAGAAGTCGGTTTTTAGAAGTATGGGATTGAGAATAACATTAGATTAATCAATTTTTCAAATCTTTGCATTGATAAATAAACAATTTTAAACAATTTTGCTAAATATTTTGCTAGCAGACAAAAAACAGAAACGGTAAATGAAAAACGTGGGAGGAGGTCAAAGAAGTTTCTAAATGTACAGTAAGATACTTCACACTGGAAAACTCAGCGGCACGAAACGGCAGCAAAATGGTTTACTCGTGACAACTGCTGCACTCTAGTTCACACTGGGAGAGTCTCAGCCATGAAGCAGCTTCTCCACTGTGCTCCTCGCTCGACTCACAAGATCACAAAGTCCCTCGAGACTTCAGCCATCCGCTGTTAAACCCAAAAGAAAAAAGTCACATTTGAAATTGATGTTTGATGTCATATATAGTGGTATTCCCCTCCAGTGCCAGGATTAAAGCCGTAAAAAACACACTGTTGCACTTCGGGACTAATGCAGGGAGTAAATAAGCCATTAGGTCACACGTAAGCTACATAGATATGAAATTGCATTGCTGCAATAGACTTTTATTCTGAAAACTACCAGAGATTTTACATTAAAACCCTGTGTAATTTCCTGTCTAGCTCTATGCTAACTGCGGGAATTGTCGCATCCCCGAAGCGGCTCACGGCAAAAGTGGAACCCGGCCCTATCTTTAGCGCCGCAGCATGCTGCTTCTGGGATACGCCTAAAACCTGCTGCATCGCGGCTGGTTTGAATCAACCTCATAGACTCTAATGGATTATATTTGCAGCTGTGACATTCTGCTGCTGTTTTGCGACGCTGATGCTTCCAGCGTTAAGTAGGCCAAACCTATAGAGCATTGCAATTGGCCCACCAAACCAACAGAGTGCTGTGACTGGCATAACACAAATCTGTTCAGGCCAACGGTAGACCTGCTGAGGCTTCTAGACTGGCATGCAGAGCAAAATCATTTTGCTTCGGCTACTGTCTGTATTTCCAGGCCAGTGGTGAGGTTTATCTATGGAAGAAAGTTCCTGATTCAGGAAGTAGAAGTTAGCTGCAGGAGTGGGAATGGAAAATGGCAGAATTTAAATTTTTACGCATTAATGTTTATGATATGCAAACATCTTGCCTATGATTGGCAAACAGTAATGTGATTCTTCTGCTGCCTTAGTTTGCTCTTCTTTCTTGGGTAAAAGGGTTGACGTGTTATCCAAACAACAGTTGTGGATTTGCTATTGCTAATGGTTAGGTTCTGCTAGTCGAGACGTACTCTGCTCTCGCCTTACAGCACTGAAATAAACAGTCTTCCACAGTAGCAAGCCGAGGTCTCCCCCACCTTCGCTTGCTGCCGCAGAAGACTGTTTATTTCATATTGATTTTCATGAATGCAAATTTCACAGTAGGACAAATGGTTTGTATGAAATTTTATTATGGAATCAAACTGATATTATATTCTTGCATGATAACACCCAGAGATGAGCACAACCTACCCATGACCCTACTTAGGACTGACCAGGCCTTTCCACTGGGCTCGTAAGGGTTGTGAAACACCTGCAAAATATAGTATGCAACAGTTATCCGCCATTAAAGTGGATAGGTGCGTTTCCATTGACTGCTAAGCGTTATGTTGTGGAATAATCCCAGAAGCGTAGGGATGCCTTGCTTATGCTTAGAGACTTTTTACATGGAAGCGTTAACCTCCACAGTTCAGGGCCAGACACGACATCATACACAAAAACAACGTAGAGTATCTGGAAACTTTCAAAATAAAAGTCGCATGCAGATTTTCATTGGTCTAACAAAAAAGTTCAGCACTTCCTGTAAAATCTGTGTAGCCGAGGTAAACAAAAGAGAAAATAAACCAGACCTTTTTGGATACATGCTATTATCTTTCTCCTTGCTTGTTATTCCACAAACCACTGAAATCACACGTGGTCTTGCAATTCTTTGGTGATTTCGAGACAAGCTTCCGGTGGGAAGGGAGCTTGTAGGTAAATGATAAATGACCGGCGCTTGTGTAGCGCCTTTCAGAGTCAGAGGACTCCAACGCACTTTGCATTACAGTGTACCATTCATCCATTCACACACACATTCACGCACTGATAGGGATGAGCTACAATGTAGCCACAGCTGCTCTGGGGCGCACTGACAGAGGCGAGGCTGCAGAGCATAGGCGCCATCAATCCCTCCGACCACCAGCAGGCAAGGTGGATTAAGTGTCTTGCCCAAGGACACGACAGCAGAATTCTCTGTCCAGAGCTGGGATCAGATCTGCAACCTTCCGATTACTGGACAACCCGCTCCACCTACATTACACATCCATTGTAAAAGCAGTTCAGAAAATCAGTGAATGAATGAATGCAAATGAACTGCATTGTGTCTTACGGTCAGCGCTGCTAAGTGTGAAACTGTTCATTGGCAGTATAACTTGATAGGTAAAAAGACAAAACAGAGATTGGTATCATATTTAAAGTAAGGTAAAATGAGTTTGCTTGAATCCTTTGTCTCTCTAGAGATTTAACCTTTTAGATCAAATACTCATACACTAGTAGGCAATAAATCAAATGTTGGGATCTTGTGGCCTAATCATTAATAGAAAACATAGGTTTTGATCCCTTAGCCTACCAGCACATATTGGAGGTCAAACATGGCTGACTTTTAGTTTAGGGGCATTAGAATTTATTTTGTCTTCAGTTACTCAATGGACGACACCCCGACTCTGTCTGCTCTTACATCTACTTTAACATCAGCTACAGCGCCAGGGTAAGAGTGGAGCCCATCATAACGGCTGACATTACAAAATGTTTTCAGTGGCTACAACCTCTGTCCCTGCAAACTTTATGAAAGTATACCCAAAAAGCAGGACAACATAAGCAGAAAGAAGCCAACCTTTTGGAGCACCTTAGTTTTTTACTTCCAGCCTTCCTTGTTTTACCCATCTCCTCTCCTTTTCACTGACTCCTTTTTTGTCTTTAATTCACCTCAACTCTCGACTCTGGCCACACACACACACACACACACACACACACACACACACACACACACACACACACACACACACACACACACACACACACTTACAGTACAATAATAAATGTGTTGAGATAATGCGGCTTGGAATCTATATTCAATCCTCACTTGATTAAACACTGGAATTTTGCATGGTGCCCAGAAATGAGGTTAGCAAATGGCTTCATTGGTTGCCAGCTTGGAATTGCACAAAAGGAAATTGAGGGAGAACACAGTGTCTGCCGCTAGCTGGCTTCTAAAAGTGCTTGATGAATGTTAGTGTACGTCACTTGGGATAATGCGAGTTAGCTGTGCGTAGACTCCAAATATGGCAGGAGTGTGACTGTTTGAGGTTGTAATGACTGTGCTAAAGTGAGAACCCTGTGCAGGGCCCCTCTCAGAAGGTACACACCTCAGCTCTGCCTTTCCTCTGCAGATGGACTCACAATGAACTCTTAGTTTCACCTCAACCTTGTTGACCTGCACACCAAAAACATGACAAATGCAAAGATCTTCATCACCCATCAGCCAAAAGAAAATCCTAATAATTCAGAGACAAATTCAGATTTCTTTAATTACTCAAACTGTTTCAATTGTATCTTGTTGGTTTTAAAGCATCGAGCATTTATTGTTAAGGAGTAAGAAAAATAATTAGAATTAGATTTATGTTAAATTTGACCAAACTTTGGTTTTAATGTTGTGTCTTTTTGAAGCCTGTATTTGCTTATATGTTGTATGGTTTTATCCCATAGGCCCTCCGGATGTAGAACAGGCATGTGAGTCAAGCGTGCACACATGGAGCCCCACCGCAGGGACAGAACAAGGTGTTGTTGGCCTGTCAGAATGCCCGCCCAATGGCTGTATGCTTCAGCTAGAGTTCCAACACCCAGTGGTGCCTGACTCCTTGAGTATGTGGGTCACGTTTTGCAGTCCAGAGGAAACAGCGCTACCTGCTATCCATGACATCCTGCTGCTGACTGTCAATGGGAACAACATCTCTCTGGGACCCAGTAACGTCTTCTGTGACACCCCACTGACTCTGAGGCTGGACGTACAAGAAGAAGTGTACGGTGTGCAAATTTACACGATGGAGCACCACCTGGAGATAGATGCCACTCTATTGGCATCCAAGCCGGACAGCGTGCTTTGCAAGCATTGCAAACCATTACGCTACCGCCTGCTGCGCCAACCACCCTTCACTCACGCACCACATGGGCTGTTGTTAAATGAACCTATTCGTCGATTTACAGACAGGTGAGTAATCTTTAAGGTCAATAAACCATCACTTATCATTAATGGGCTGAACTGATGTTCTTGAGGGAAGAAATAATCATAAAATGCATACTTTGAGAGTTTAGTTTTCTTATCTACTCTCGGGAATGAATACACATTCTTTCTTCGCAAATGTTAATAGCCAATCAATTTGACAACAGTCAACAGTATTCCTACAGAATGTTTTCTATTAAAAGCTTAGTATTGCTGTTTGCTTGTGATTTAGTTTCCTGCTTCCATGTGAGGTCATTCCTTTTTTTTTTCCAGACCTCCCAATAAAAGGTGTTTATATATCTGTGGAAAAATATTCATCAGAAAAATGTTCATGTAATACCAGACATCCTTTTGAATCCCCTCTGGAACACCAGCAGGCCACTGCTGCTGCTGCAGTTTCAGATCTGTTTTCCCAACATTTGTTTCCTAAGTCACAGGTCAGTTTTTGCCCACATTTGTTGTTTCCTATGTGCCACAAAGCAAGGACAAACTATTGACTTGTTGAAGGTATTATCTGCACACTGTGGTGAGAATCTGCTGCTTTTTCTTACAAGGAATGTGCTGACTTTGCTAAATTGTGCTATACATGGCACAGTTGCGTGTTATACCATCTCTCTGTCGTGCCATCAGTGCAATTCACAAGAGCAGGGAAGTGTTGTATAAAAGGGCAGGTAAGTCTGTTATGCAGGTTCAAGTGATGACATCCAAGTTCCATAATGTGTCTGTGCAGGGCTTCCTGGTTAAATGGCAGGATCTGTGGAAGGGTGCCTACAGTTTGGATGTATTTATTTGGAGGTTTTGGCTCACTCACTGACTGTTGATGTACTGTAGGTAGTTTTACTACTGTGGTACATTTCACTAGCTGTGGTTGCATTCCAGTGGTAGTGGTCAGTGGCAACGGCTGTATATTTTTTCTTATGAGACCATGTGAGATCTTGTCTGTTAGGTTGTCAGAGGAGCTCAGTAAACAATAAGTATACATGTAAATCTTTGAGCTGTGACTTTTTGAAACTCACTCAACCAAAGGGTGTATATATATATATATATATATATATATATATATATATATATATATATATATATATATATATATATATATATAATTAAAGTTGCAGAGTGTCCAAATTGTATTAAATATGTTATTTGCTTTATGCATTCTAAAAATATTTTATTTTATTTGTTGCAGTAAATGCATTCTACTTCTTATTCACTTAGAACTAGTTTTTTAACTAGTTTAACTAGTTTTTTAAAACAATTTGTTGACCACACAGAAAGTTACTTCTTTCATTACGTTACCACAGGGCTAGATGGAGTGGATGAGGGTTGGGGAGGTGATTGACCTTTTGCTGTCAGGCCACTGGCCTTCATCTAAGCCGGAGCAAAACAAGAGGAATGGCTGACATCTTGGCTCCTTTGGCTCCATCAATGAGTGGTGGTTTGTTTGGAATGGCTAACGGCTGGGAGGTCAGGGTGACAAAGTAAATTATGGTGGAGGGTATGAAGGGTAAAGAGGAGACGCAGGGTGGGAGGTTGTATCAGTTGGGGGTAAATTATAACTTGGCTTGGAAAGGGGGTTGGGGTGAGAGGCAATGGGTGATGAAGGAGACATAAGGGGGTCAAGAAAGTATTAGGAAAGACCTCCCAAGCAAAGTAGACTTGGGACAGCTCTCACACCCTGCCTGTTTATGCTCATGTTTTTTACATTATGTGCTTCCAACTGAACAGTAGTTTAAAACCTGCTCCCTCCTTCTGTTCTATGTAGAAATTGGGGGATGGGCTGAATTGGTACATGATTGTGTCCTCTAGATATCCAAGGTTTCTATTTGCCTCACCAGTTTTCTGTTGTATGGCTATTATAATTATCTTTTTATGTACAAGTTGGTGAACTATTCCTGGAGAAACATGGAAAAACATGGAAATCTGTTACTTGAAGGTTCAAACTAACTTTTTTAGAGTCTCCTTAAAATGTTGTAACCCAATGTTAGAGTATTCTGTGACTTTTGCTCGTTGTTTCTTGGTAGTAACGGGAACTGATGTAAATTTTCATTTTGGTGCCACTTTACCCAAGGTAATACATGTTTATGTATTTTTCTTTTTTTATTTCAAATTCTAAAAGTGCTGCTTGCATTTATTTCCTTTATGTAACTAGATAGACAGTCTTGGAGATTAACGGAATACATGTACTGCTGTTACGTATTTAGAAAACTAATTATGAGTAACTGTATTCTGTTACAGTTACTATTTTAAAACATGGTATTTACAATACAGTTAAGCCTAGACGACACATTCTCACACCCTGAGTCGAAAAATGACAATGAGTGACCATGCGTTTGTTTACAACGCGTCGGGAGGCAACGCGCTGTGCCAGAGCGTTGCCTCCCGACGCCTCCGGTTGAATGGAAATCGGACATCTCACCAACATTTAACCTCTAACCTCTAGTGATTTAACCTTTCCCTCACCCCCTTCCTAACCTTAACCCAGGATCTTGTTCTAAATTTCCGATTAACCGTGTTTGACAAGAACGATACAACAAGAAACAAAGTTTTGCATGTGGAAGTGGGTTAAGGTTAGGATGGGGGTGAAGGGAAAGTTAAATTGCAAGAGGGTTAAGGTCACAGTTCGCTAAAATCTCCATTTTACCGCGGGCGTCGGAAAGCAGAGCGTCGCCTCCCGACACGCTGGATCTCTCAAAGCGTCAGAAACAAACTCTTGGTCACCCATCATCATTTTTCGATGCTTTTGGTGTGAGAATGTGTTGGCTCACCAGATACAGACACGTCATGGAAGTGCAGTGGTTTTGAGAAGTCAAGTTGTAACACAGGACAAGCCGCTTCACTGAGCGCTTCTTGGAAAGTCGCGCAATAGTCACAACATCACGCGGGACTTGAGAGCAGGAAGCAGGAAGTGACTCTATTGTTTACACACAATCAGATTTGCCGTCGTGTTTTGTGAGACTCTAATTCAGTAAAAATGGGTAAGCACGCTATTTATTAGAATATTTTAACATTAATAGTACTTAAAAGTTATTAAAACTGCAGCTGGGTTTGTGCCGGTGGTTGGGTTTATGCCGTAAAGCCGTTCTGCGTCGTAATGTCTATTGTAAAGCACTCCACAATGTTGCAAATGGCTGCGGTGCTTAAAGTAGAACTGGCGACACAGCCAGACAGGACACAGGGGGAAAAAAAAAACAAAGCCTGGCGATCATCTTTAGCGCCTCGGCGCGGTGTTCCACGTGCAGCCACTCTCATTAACTATAATGGCTTCTAGTTAAAATGACGGCGTGGCGCAGGCGCTGCTCGGCGCTATGGATGTCAGTAAACGAGGCAGTCCGCTATACTCCATCAAAGAAAATGCTAATACATCATTTTTCTAAATAAACTTAAGTACCTCTATCTGCTCTTGAGTCAAAGAAAAGCCCAAGTCTAAATAGTCCAAAGTTTCAAATGAGCCGTCGCCATATTTGTATCAGTAACAATCCGACCACCAGCAGAATGCTGTTATTGGCCCTCCAAACCAATAAAACACTGTGACTGGACGGCTATGGATGTCAGTCTGCCATTACATCATGAAAAAACTACATAAAACATTTAAAAAAACATTGTTTTTCTAGATAAATGTGCTGAGATGGTGAACAGCTCCTGTAGAAAAGTTAAACTTTATTACACAAACAGAAATGGATTCTATTGACAAATTGATAAATTAAGATACACAAAAATAAGTAAATAGTTTTATTTATTTTTTCCCAGTCAGTACATAATGATTAGCATTAATATGCCCTCTGTTTTCCTGTTGTAGTAGCTACCATCAAATATTGTGGCATTTAATAGACCTAAACGCTTTTTCAAAGGGGCAGTATTCCAAGTATTTAGAATAGAAACGAAAAACGTTACGAAATACATCTAAAAGCAAATATTCAGTATTCTGTAACTAAATCCATTTTAAAAGTATTCTCCCCAACATTGTAGAGACAATTTTATTGTGGCCAGGGATAGATTTGCAATTACATTTCTAAGCAAATAAATAAAATGCCCCATAACACACTTGAATGTATCCTGAGCAAACGTGCCCTGAGTGCACTCACACCTGTATTTCGGGCACTTTACTTTAAATTGATGTGTCCAGGATGCATGTCAGTGCCAAGCAAGGCCGTCTCTATGGTGGAGCAAGAGGGGGCATTACTCCTCAAATAGATTTCAGTCACATGAACACACTAGACCAGAACTTTCCTCCAATAACAGTTGATTGGTTTGACATAATTTCATCTATGTAAATAAATTTTAAAATCAAAAGATGAAACTTCATGTTATTTATATTACCATCTCAATTATGATGCCAAATATGTCATCGATTTATTTAATTTAACTGGTCTGTTTGCTTTTTAGTCCAGTTATGATATTGTTACATTTGCCACCAGCAAAAATGAATGAAAACTCATTTATTTTGTTTTTAACATTTACAAAATGACAAGCATGCTTATCCAATTAAATGTGTTTGTTATAATAAACGTCATCACTGAAGAACCAAGATCTAGTTTAGCTAACTTTTTAATGGAGAAAAGCTAATAAGCCATTTAGTTCTGTTCAGAGCGCTAACTAAAAACAATTAAAAGAAAGATGTGAGTGTGCACAACTCCAATCTGCAGATGCATCTTCAGTGGTTCTGGTTCATCTGACCCAAGTCGAACCCAGACCAGACAACACCGAAACTTCTCTCAGGAAAAAAAGGCTCTGAAAATTCCCTTTTGAGAACAATACAACACGAGAGCTGGATTTCCCTTCTAACATCAACAAGTTTGTTGAGTTAAAATCTAATTTGGTGAGTTCAGTCTCTCTGCTGGTGGACAGTGTGTGTGTGTGTGTGTGTGTGTGTGTGTGTGTGTGTGTGTGTGTGTGTGTGTGTGTGTGTGTGTGTGTGTGTGTGTGTGTGTGTGTGTGTTCTGGAGGATTTAAATGTGATGCGCTGAGGGAGAGGAAGCCAATGGACGTCT